CAAATAGATTTAAATGCATAAACATTACTTGCGCCATGAATCATTTCTGTGAGTGTAGGGTCTGGCATGCAACCTGGATGATTCATACAGAGTTTGGTGTATTTTAGCCTTTCTTTGTGAAAGTTACAGCTTTATGAAACTAACAGACGGACAGACGGAGAGCATTTTAAAGTCCCTCGCCTCGGCGACGGGGGACAAAAAGCTTTCATAGTAAATTCTCCTTAAAAAAATGTTTACAAGTGTTTTTAAAGAAAATACTCTCAAACACACACCATGTTAGAAAATCCAGCCATTGTTGTTAGTAAAAAAAAAAGTTTTTTTCTGCAGGATTGTTCGAATTGAAAAAGACCCATATGCTTGCTTCATGTTTGGACTTTCCTATTTGACTCTCTGGCGCTACTAGTGGTTGGAAGTGGAACTGCAGCCACCATCWTTGTTCTTGGGCAAGGACAGATGAAAGGACAGGGGCACTTCAGGGGACCAATCAGATTTCAGAAGGGGCCAACGCCCCTGTGGCCCCACCCCTAGAACCACCCCTGAAGCTAAAGGCAAAATTTTTCATGACAAAGGCTAAATGTTGCAAAAGTAGAAAAGGTAAACTAAACGTGGCAAATGGGTATCCAAAAGCTAAAGCAAAAACTTATAAATTAGTTAAAATTAAAGCTAAAGGCAAGCTATAAGGTTAGCTCAAAGTAGAAACAATAGATGAATGTGGCAAAAGGCTAAATATAAATATAAATAACAAAGTCTAGCTAAGGCAATTCACAAAAAGCAAGCTAAAATTTTTAAAATCCTAGCTAGAATTCAAAATTAGCAGGACAGTAGATCATTGCTAAAGTTAGCAAAAGTTAGCAAAGTCTAGCTAGAAAATAAAAGTCGCAAAAGACAAGCTAAAAGTTTCAAAATCGTAGCTAGAATCCAAAATTAGCAGGACAGTAAATCATTGCTAAAGTTAGCATAAAGCTAGCTGACAGCTAAAATTATCAAGACAATAGCTAAAAAAATGACAGTAGCTAAAAGAAGTATAAAAAGATAACATTCAAGCAAGAGTTCGGTTGGGAAAACTTTTGTAACACAGTTAAATATTCTGAAAAAGATTACAAAAAGAAAAATGTAATGTCATGCATTTCTTGAACGAGCTGAAAGTTTATTTACCATAAAATAGCTAAAGTAATTGCAACAAACGTACTGACAAGTAAAATATTAGAAAACAATCAAAACCTTACACTGATATTTCTCATTTAATGAGTTTCAAACAAACAATGAGGAGGTTTAGACACTAAACACAGAGATAAACTCACATGTGAGACTGGAGGTGATGTTGGACGAGGACCTGAGACTGGACCAGGTGTTGGATCCTGTACGCAGCTTAATCCACAAAACAACAAATTAATGTAAATAAAATTGTGTTTATGTTCAGATAAAGAAAAAAACTCTCGGTTCACACACAGAACATGTCACAAAACTCACTTCCAGGTGACTTCAAGAACAAGTTTCAGAGTGCCTAACTCGTTAACGTCCACAGCAACTGTCCTCGATAGTGGAGCAAACAGGTCTTTAGGTTCGCAGAAGATATTTCCTACAACCACGTGGTTGGCTACGCTCTTTAGCTCTGTCACCTGGGAAACCATAAAGATCATTAAAAACAAACATAAATCTGCGTAGAGTCATTAGAAAAGATCATCGGTCACAAACCTTCACGGAAATAAACTCGTGAATGATTGGAAAAAATGTCATGTGTTCATTGTCCCACATTTGTTTGCCATTGACTTCTATACTTCCATGCATTTTCCAACGCTGCCGACCATACCTAACAAGTATCTAAATGAAGACGCATAAAGTTTTTTTTTTCATGTTTACACATGGATATTACAGTGTTCAAGTCTTGGAAATGTCACGCTCAGTATGAGCAATACATTTTCTGAAAATGAGCAAAGAAAACAGAGACAAACCTCATACTGATCACCAGCACACAATCTGGCAAATCCAGCAAGTCCTGAGGAACAGGTGGAAACAAACGATGAGGTCACTTTGGAGTCAGTCTTACATAATTCAAACTAAAGGCCGACCATGTGTTGAGGATGACTCCCAACTGATTTCACATCATGTTTTATCTGTGTCTATAAAACTGAATAAGTTACAACYATTTTTGTGTTTGCTGAAGTTGGTTAGCTGTGGTGACACACCTGGTACTTACCAGTTATGTACCTGGTACCTCCAATAAATGAGCTCTGATAGGAAGTGACAGGAAGTGACCTTGTTCTTACAGGGTATGTTTCTTTGTGCATACCAGGTATGTACCATATGAGAACCAGGTAAGTACCAAGTATGTACCAGATACATATATATCAGGTGCATACCATGTACATAATCTATAAATTTTGTATACCTAGTGCATACAAGTTAATTCCAGATACGTATAGGTGTTTACCATTTTCATACTTTGTATGTACCATATGTACCTGGTACGTACTGGATACATATCAAATGTATACCAGGAATGAATCTTATAAATACTGGGTAAATACTAAATTCAAGCTGATACTTACCAGATACTGGATACACACCAATACATTCTGTTATAATTGAATGTAGCACAATACATACAAGTTAATACCAGGYACTTATAGGTATTTACCAGATACATATTGGGTAAGTAGTGTATGTACCTGGTACTTACTACATTAATATCAAATAGGTACTAGGAACGTATTGGATATGTACAAGGCAAACACAAGCTAATACATACCTGATGCATACCAGGTATGTCCCCAGATTTTTTCAGGTCGTTAATAGATATCAGATAAGTATACAGTACCAGGCAACAACCAGGTACATTTAGCTGCACGTCCCATGTATGTATGTATCCAGTATGTACATTGGTTTATTTTATGGATCTGCTTTTTAAAAAAGTTTTCTTTATTAATTATAATCTGATGGCGAACAATATTTAACTCTTACCTTTCATTTTAATTGAGAACTTTCCCAGCTGTTTCTGTAGCTCTCTCTCTTTTGTATTCATGTCCTACGGACAGAATCAGGAATACGGTTATTTAGTTTTTCTAGGTTACAACAGGATGAAACTTTAATTACATCCACATTTCTTTACTTTGTCTAGATTAAGGCTTTTTCAGTAGATTTTCTGTATACTTTACTTGTTTAAATTTATGTCTATTAGCAAAGGTATGCTAGTGTATACAACACTTTTAACCTATATTAGAAGTCTTCATTATTCAGTTCAGGTGGGGAATGTCCTGTAATTTGTCCCTCATACTTCTCTGTTTCTCTCTGGTTACAACTAAAGTGATACCAACCTACTTTCTCAATCTTTCAGGGTAGTCAGTGGTACATCACTGTCCTCATCTGCGGTGTGCCACAGGGGTGTATCCTCGGTCCTCTGTTTSTTACCYCTGGGGCATGTGATTCATAAATGTYCTTCWTATGCAGATGATGATCAACTGTATATTGTTTTACCCTCTAGTACCCACAGCTCTTATTATTAGTTCTTTGATCTCCAGCACTAGATATCTCCAGAACTAGATGGCCCTGAACTTTCTCACACTTTCCTTTGAAGTAACATGTGTTTTGCAGAAATTGTGTTCATCTTCCACTTCCAATCGACCTCACCTCTGTGTACTTTTTGAAGTCAYTATTAGCCTTCACCAAACTCTTATTGGCCTCTTTAGTTCCTGGATTGGATTTGCATTCCTTTATCACCTTGTTGGCATCGTCCCTCAGTTTTCTCKTCTCACGGTAAGCTTCATAAATCTGCTCAGTCTGAGAAAATAAAGGTTTTAAAAAAATTTGTCTCCATTTATTAACAACCACAGAGAATGATACACCCGGTCTGCTGCCAACTGGTATTACCTTGACGTACTGAACCTCCAAACTGCCTATGTACCTCTCGATCACCTTAGCTTTCTGTCAAAAGGAAACAGTCAGAACCATTCAGGCTGGTCTACTCATTAGCCAGTCATTTGAGTCTCTCTAAAATGTTTCAGAGTACGTAAGACTAAAAAGCAACATTTAATAAATTCATAGTGCTCACCCGATCAAATTCGTAAACAGACTCCTGAAGAAGAAAAAAACATCAAGTTAGTGTCTGTAAAGGAAACACTAAGTTTTGGCAAGGCCAACCTTAGAACTGCCACRACATACCAGTCCGGAGTTCATTTTAGCTTTATTTATTTCATCATTGATTTTTTCCAAATCTGTTTGATAAAATCTGAGGCAGAACCTGTGAACAAACAAGTCAGAGGAAAGTTTTGGTTTTGAGGAGTTTAGGTTGATTTCAAAGTTAAAGTTTCRAGTAGCGGTGAGCGTGCTTACTGAAGGCCTATCTTCATGGCTTCATAAACTTCATCCACTCTSGCCTCTGGGGGGATTTCTGGAGGTACGATGGACCTGGTAGACATCTTGARCACCTCAGTTGAGCAGGTTCCTGCGATTTTAGATGACAAATACTGTTAAATATCCAAACATGGAACTAACCCTGCAACGCTGCATCACAGTTCTAATAGTATGAAGGATGAAGAGGATCAGTTTTTGGATTTGTTGAGTTACGATCATGGAGGAGTCAAAACTACAGGATACTAGTTGGTTGACCAACCGTGATGTGTGAAAGTAAATGGACCAGTAAAGCAAAATCTTCTCTGTATGACTCAAAACAAACAGAACCTATTTGTCTATTTTTTGTCCATCAACTGTAATTTTAGTTTTCTATACTTTACAGCAGTGGTTCCCAAACTTTTCAGCTTTTGACCCACAAAATACCAGCAGTGGAGACCTGTGCCCACTGTGCATAGTAACAATATTCATTACTCTATTTTTGTCCATTTTAAAAACACTTTCTTTACTTTTTTGTGACAACAAAGGCAAAAAGTTGTTGTTAGTTGTCATTTTTTTAGTGTAATTAATTCAGAAAAAACTTTTCAGGACCCCACCTTGATGTTTCGGGACCCCACTGTGGGTCCCGACCCCAACTTTGGGAACCACTGCTTTACAGCACAGGTGCCGAACTCCAGTCCTCAAGGGCTGCTGTCCTGCATGTTTTCTTATTTTCCTGCTCTAACACACCTGATTTGCATGAATGGAAGATGAACAGGCTTCTGCAGATTTTAAGGAGTTAATTGAAGCACTAAATCAGGTGTGCTGAGTCAAAGAAACAAGGAAATCATGCAGGATAGCGGCAATCAAGGACCTGACTTTGATACCCATTCTTTCTGTATGGTAAATGTTCTATACTTTAATACTTTTACTCAAGAAATATCCTTAGAGGAGACTTTAACTTTTACCAAAGTAGTTTTATGGTAATGTACTTTTACTCAAATATCACTTTGAGGTAATTTATACAAGACTGCAACTGAACCAATAGTAAGCCTTTTCTTTGGACTCGCATTCTAAATAATTGACTCCTCTTAGGATTTCTGCAAAAATGAATAATATGTTATTTTGCATACTATGATTGTATTTTGATAATAACTAAGCTGAGAGAGGCTGAGTATAATGTATAATGAAACCCCACTTATGGATTTTCTAGTATCTGTTGCAGGTTTACGTCATCAGTTAATGAAACAATAAAATTAGATCAATCTGACAGGTTTGTGGTTTAATRTGACATCTCATGGTGACAAAAGAAGCTCCTCCTTTGCTTGTTTTCACCTTTGGCACACAGTGACTCACCAAACACAAAAATGAACCCATTGATGTCTTAATATTACTCACAGTAACAAAAATACAAGCAATTGTTGAAGGAATGTACTGTATATCACCTGTCTTTCTGCATGCCAAAGTTTTGACAAAGCGCCCGTGTAATCAGTTCAGARTTTCTGTTGGAGACGACTCTCAKCTACCACCACACCAAGTTTCAGCTCAGTACTTGAAATACTGGCTGAATTATATTCATTTTTGCTTTACTTAAATTCAGTTAGCTGTGGAAGAATTAGTTGTAGCTAATTTCTGAAAGTTTTGTTTCGTTTCATAAGCAGACATGAGCAAAAAATACAACAAAAAGTCATGTTTAATAATTTCAGGTAATCTTCCTGGCATCTAGTTCCTGTAAAGTGTTAAAGTGTTGCTCAAAATGGCATCCATGTCACTTCCCCTTAATGCAAACAAAAAGAGTCAGCCTAAAGCAATACTTTTTAGCTGTTTAAAGCGAGACAGGTCAGCTAAAATGCCAGCAAAAAAGCTGCGGTTTTCCCATCTTAAGTTTGAGATTTCTCCAGAAACACTGGAAATTTAAAAAAACCCTGCTCATTTGAAACTGTTAACTTCATGACTTCCATTTTTCTTCATTATTAGTGTTTTAGTTCTCTAAATAAATTGTAATATTGTAGATCTGATGCTCTTCCACATCCCCTTACATGTCTACAACAAACAGGAAGTCAAATGTAGTTAATTTTTTATTTACTATCCAACAAGCAACAATACTACAGGTGATAACGGCCAACAACAGTCCACATGCTCTGCTTTACCAATTAATACGAATGTATACCTTGTTTTAACAAGCAAAACCCTGAGGAAATCATAATCTTACTCACCTGAACCATCGGCACTCAAAGTGAAAAACAGATCTATGAACTTTCATCAAGGAAACCAGCCTGAATGAGGAAGGGAGAGCAGGTAGGACCGAGCAGGAGAGATCGTAAAACAAGACGAGTAAAGCTTTCCCGAACATCCACGGCTAAAGGCAGCCTGGATTTAAAGTAAACTGAGAAAAGAGGAATGCTGCAGGACCAGAACCAGCATGACAGACAACCGGTTCACCAGTTTTCTTTATGAGATAAGCTGCTTTAAAACAAAAGCCTTCAAAYGTTGTCTCAAGTAACAGCAGGAGTATTGAAACACTTTTAATTAGACACAAAACTAATCCACTCATGACTAGACTTTCCTTTAATCTTTTTAAGGGAGAAGCAGATGTCCAACAATGTGTGAAATAACTGTTTTTCCCTCTAATGTATTAAATGACTACTGCAGTAGCTTGGTTATTGCCAGAGTAAAATCAAATGCAAAATAACATATTATTCAATTAATTCTTGGAAGACATGAATATTCAAATTCAATTCAAATCAAATTCAAAAATGCTTTATTGGTCCCAGAGGGAAATTAGGTAAATCTATTATATCAATTCAGTTTTATTATAAATCACAACAAAATTAATCTCAGAGTACAATACAAATAAAAAAGATAAAACACAAGTTAAAATGCACTACAGTCAAATTCATACATCATGAAATAGTAAAAGTCATCAGAATCAGAACCAGGTTTACTGGCCAAGTATGTTCATACATAGAAGGAATTTGTTGCGTTACAGTGTTATTCACAAAAAAAGCAATTTGAAGTTATGTATTTAAGGG